ATCCATGTGAGAAAAATCTTCAACATCATTAGTAATCAGGAAAATACAAGTTACTGTAATACTGTACTTGTACTTAGTAGATTGACAAAATTACAAAATCTGTTTCTAAGTGTTGGACAGATACAAATACTGTTCATAGAAATAGAGTTGGCTTTTGAGAATGATTTTGTATTGTTTTGCAAAGGCAAATATGTGTATACTATAATGCAGCAGTTCTTGTCCAGTGGTACATGGTAGGAAATCTTATGACTTCTGTACCTGGAGGTAGGTATAAGACTATTCAACAGCGGAATACAGCTGAGAGTCCAGAAATAAACCCATACCTTGTTTCTCATCAAGGGTATTACCAAGATATTTGGGACAAATAGGATAAAGTTGCACCTCTACTTCACACTAATTGTCATTATAGAGATAATCAGCTTATATAGAGAAGAGGCTTATTTTCGCTTACAGTTTGGGAGTTCTTGCTTGGTTGGCCCAGTTGCTCTGGGCCTGTGGTGGCGCATCATGGCAGAAGTATGTGGTGGATCAGCACTGCTTACCCCAAGGCTGAGAACTGAGGGGACTAGATGCGGCCCCCACAGTCTCTCCTTCAACGGCACGCCCAGTGACTTGAAGCACTCCCACTAGACCCCACCTTCTGCAGTTTCTACCCCCTCTTGATCCCTCGAGCTGGGTCCCCAACTTTTAGCACATGGGCCTTTGAGTAACACAAATCATAGCAAAGTAGAACAAAGGCTTTAAAAGCTAAAACTAAAACTCATAGAAGAACACAGCCATAGCTTTATAACCATGCGTTAGGCAGTGGTTTCTCAAATATATCACTACAGACATAAAAACATAAACAGACTTACGAAAATTAAAACCTTTTGATGCTTCAAAGGAATACAGTCAAGGAAATGAAAAGATAACTCTGACAGTGAGAGAAGAAACTTGCAAATTTATGTATCAGAGAAGGGACATGTCTAGCATATATAAATAGAACTACTACCTCAAACAGTCCAATTTAAAAATTGGCAAAAGACCTCAATAGGCATTTTTCAAAATAAAATATGCAAATGGCCAGTAAACACATAAAAAGAAGACAAATATCATTAGTTATTAAAGGAATGCATATAAAAATCAGAATGCGATACCACTTTATACCTACCAGGATGCTGGCTTTCTGTCTTGGACAACAGCATGTGTTATAAAATGAGAAACCGAGAAATTGACACTGTCCTAAATTGCTGGCGGGAATTTAAAATGTGGTGTGGCTGCTGTAGAAAACAGTTGGCAGTTTCTCAAAGTTAAACATAGAGCTAGCATGTACCCCAGTGTTTCTAGCTATGTACTCACAAAACATTGAGAACACGTGTTCATGCAAAACTTGTGCACAGCTGGGCGTGGTGGCACATGTCTGTAATCCCAGGACTTGGGAGGCTGAGGCAGGAGGATCATTGTGAGGCCTGGTCTACATAGTGAGAACCTGTCGCCAAAAACAAACAAACAAAAAACATGTGCGGAGATACTCATAGCAACATTGTTTATTATAGTTTATAGACCCAAACTGGAAACAACTTGAGTGTCCATCAACTGATTAATAGATAAAATATAATATAGCCATACAGTGGAATATTATTATTGGGCCATAAAAAGGGACAAAATACTAATTTATGCTGCAACAGGGTGGGACTTTGAAAATGTGCTAAGTGAAAGGAACCAGACAGAAAAAGTCACATACTGTATGATTCCTTTGTGTGCATGTGCATGTGTGCATACATGTGTTATGGTGGGGTATTGGGGATTGACCCCCAGGTGCTCTACCGCTGAGTCATATCCCCAGCCCTTTTTATTTTTTATTTTGAGACAAGGTCTTGCCAAGATGCCAGGCAAGATTCCACTTTGAAATCCTCCTGCCTCAGCCTCCTGGAGTACTGAGATTACAGGTGTATGTGTATGCCCAGCTTGATTCCATCTATTAAACGTTCAGAATAGAAGCTGGGCATGGTGGCACATGCCTGCACTCAGGAGGCTGATGTGGAGGATCTCTGTGAGTTCAAGGCCAGCCTGAGCTGAGTAGCGAGACCCTGTCTCAAAAAAAAAGAAAGGTAAAACATGTGCAAAATGGTTAAATCCATAGTCAGAAAATAGTTTGGTGGTTGTCAGAGGTTGGAGAAGAAGAAAATGATGAATAACTTAATGGATATGGGGTTTCTTTTTACAGTGATAAAAATGTGCTTAAATTAAATGTGCTGATGGTTGTACAACCTAGTGAATATACTAAAATCCAATGAACTATACCCTTGAAAATGAGTAATATTGTATCTCATTAAGCTGAATATGCTGGAGATACAGCTCGGTGGCACAGCACCTGCTTGGCAAACTTGAAGTCTTGAGTTTGATTCCCGCTACCAAAAAAAAAAAAAAGCTGGGTATTTGGGGCAGCTGTGTGTGTGTGTGTGTGTGTGTGTGTGTGTGTGTGTTTAAGAAAGTTTCAGGAGTACAACTTTCAAACGTAGTATTTTTTAATTATTTTTTTTAGATATATTACTCAGCATTTACAAATTATTCCTGTAGTTCTGATTGAATATGTTTGCATAGGAAACATGAAGTATAACTTAATTCTAAACAATAGGTGATATGTTACAAGTTATTGTATAACAGTGATTTTTAGCTTCTATTGCATTTAGTCCTTTCTTTGGGCTTTAAGGAGATGCAAGTAAACATAAAAGAATGAAGAAGACATTAGAACTTTTATATTTAGAAAGCAACATGCAGTGAAAGAAGCTGCTAAGCTTGGTTTATGGCTGTAGTACCTAGTTTATATTAGAGTAAACTTCAGAGACAGGGAAATGGTTGGATAATTCTTTTAAAAACTTCTTTCTTTTTCTTGAGACTGGGTCTCACTATGTAGTTCAGGCTGGCCTTGAACTCGCTATGGAGCCCAGGCTGGCTTAGAACTTGTGGTGTGATCCTCCTGCCACAGCCTGCCAAGTGCTGGAATTGTAGGTGTATGCTACCAAGCCTGGCTAAAAGCTTTTTTTAAGCTGCAGAATTCGGATTGCCTCTTTCATCATTGGAAGTACAACTTTGTCAGACATTTGATTTGTTATAATTTTCTTTGCCTCTCTCTCTCTCCCCCCGCTTCCTTCCTTCCTTTCTCCTCTCCCTCCTCCAATGTGACCTGCCATGTGCTGGCTTTGCCTCTCTTCTCCTCCTCCTCCTTCTTTTCTCTGTCTCCCTCTCCCCACCCGCCCCCCTTCTGTCTTTTTGAGACAGGGTTGCCATACAATTCAGGCTGGCCTTGAACTCACAGCAGTTCTGCCTCAGCTTCCCAGGTGCTGGGATTACAGATGTGTACCACCATGCACTGCTGAATTGTTACAGTTTCTTTGAGGAAAGACTAAGGTTTAGAAATCATTAAAGTTGCTTCTAAAATAAAAACACTTGTAAATGTTTACTCAAAATAAGTAAGTATAATTTATCCAATGTGACCTGCCATGTGCTGGCTTTTGCTTTCCATTGAATTGTGGACCTAATTTGGGCTTAGAAACTCATTTTTTTGTTTGCCTTATATTCTTTGGAAAAGTCTTAACAGTCTACCAAAATTCAAACATGACCTTGATGCAAGAGAGAACATTCACAAAAAATACTGGGTTAGCATTCTTTATAATAGTAGCATATGTACAGATTTCATGGGAACCTAGCCTGCCTTTAGAAATTTGCTAATGCTGGTCAACTTCACATAAATACAAAAGTACTCTATTGTTACCTTCCTGTATTTAATTGTAATGTCAAGCCAGCAATTAAAAATTTTAAACTACAGGTAAATAAAATCTTGATGGTTTATTTTCTTTTTGCCCTGGCAGTTAATTGCCACCTGTTTACCTAGCTTTTGGTGGTCTAGCTGTGTAGCTAACTTCCATGACTCCATCTGTCAGGTGGGAAATATATTTCAGAGGGGCCCATCCCATTCTGGTGATGAGGCAGTTTTGCTTCCATCTTTGGCTTAGATATATTGGCTCTCTGAAGTTTTCTAGTTTTAAATATTCTTTAGTATTGTTTTGTTAACCAAATGTAATAAAATAGACAAAAGCATTTATAAAATTACTTTCTCACAAATGAATTTTATCGTATTTCAGTAATGAGTTCAGTTTACTAATACTCATTTATACTTACTAATACTCATGAATGAATCATCATGTTCTGAAATCACAGTATTTTCACTTGGTGTGAGTGGGTTTTTGACTAAGTCATCTATTTGTCAGCTCTTATGATAAAAAAGAAAAAGTAGGTCAACCTTCAGACTTCTCAGATTTGGCATACTAGTAAGAGATGCTTTTCTTTTATTTAGATTCTGTGTATTTGCTGAATTGATGTTTATTGGTGAATATTCTTCTTTTTACAAGTTTTAAGAAGAATTAGCTAACCGCAGGTTATGTTCTTTAAGAATAAGTTTAGCTGAACATGGTGGCGCACACGTGTAATTCCAGCACTGGAAGGCTGAGGCAGGAGGATTGCCACAAGTTTGAGGCCAGCCTGGGCTACATAGTGAGTTCAGGGGCAGCCTGAACTGTACAGCGAGACTCTGTATTAAAAAAAGTCAAACAAAAAAAGATTAAGTTTCTTAAAGTATGGAAAAAGTTTTTTTTTCCTTGTTGTTTTGCTGATTTGTTGCAAGGAGATCATGTGATCTCTTAAATCATCAGTCAAGGTAATGGAAACATACATAGAAGCCTATTGCATAATGTGTCATTCATCCCTAGTAAAGACATGGGTAAGATGTTAGTTCTGTATTCCAACCCAGTTGTTTTTCTGTTAGTTGTACATTTGGGTGAAGCTTAAGTTTTTGATGTTTGGTAACATTAAACTGAGGTGAGTGGCAGACTTAGATATTTTGATATCTGAGACACCATTTCTTATTTAAGACCATGATTTTTCTTACAAAATTTAGAGTTGACAGTATTTCAAACATTCCTTCCTCTTCTTCTTTTTTCTTTCTTCCTTTTATCCTTTAGCTGGCAATCCTTTGGTCCAGCAAGGAGGACAACCACTCATTCTGACCCAGAATCCAGCACCAGGTCTGGGCACAATGGTTACGCAACCAGTTTTGAGGCCTGTCCAGGTCATGCAGAATGCCAATCATGTGACTAGTTCCCCTGTGGCCTCACAGCCAATATTCATCACTACACAGGTGAGTAGGACTCTGCAGTCTAGGACTGGTAGAGAGGGAGTGAAAAACTTTGAAAGACTGTATGTTAGGGTCTTTGGTATGGTGAGAAGTGATTCTAAGTCTTGCCTTTTGAACTGGGTTCCCCATTCACTCTTTCATAATTTGATGCAGATCTTTGTGGAAAGCCTAGGGCTAGCATCAGGACTGGGTGATTTCCTCTTCACACCCCTGAGAGTTATGATCTGTGCACAAGTTAGTGGAAAGCTGGGATTAGGAAGCCTTAACACTTAGCCTTCAAAGCTTTTCTCTGCACATGAGGTAGGTTGAGATCTATATATGAAATTGGTGATCTTTGAAAGAGAAGGAAGGTGATTACTTGGTGATTTGAAGTTGAAAGCCTAATTCTGAATGTGGACTTTAAAGGCAAATGCTTCTTTTTACCTATGGCTTCCTAAGTTACAAAATCTTCTCTTACAAATTTGCCAGAGGTTTATGACCTTTACAGTGGACTTTGGGAACAATTTCTCAGTTTCCTAAGACATACTTGATTCACTCCAGTCAGTACTGCTAGTGTTTATCTTCCCTCCCCTCCCTTCTATGCTTGTAGGAGTTGAAGGGCGTGTCTATGACACATTTTTTTTTTTTAAGCTGATACTCAAGTTAGAAGCAGACTTTCATTTTGACTCATATATACTGAAGCTTGTTATCAGTTTTGATACTTTGTTGCTGAAAAATTTTCCAGAATTTTTCTGTCTTAATCATTTAAAAGTTCCTACTCTAGAGAAAGAACTGTTAAGAGTGTGGAAGTTTTTTTGGATGTAGGTCATACTGCCGTCCATGTTAGCATTAGTGTGGTCTCCATGTTAAAGATCATTTTGCTTTTTAATACAGGGGTTTCCTGTAAGGAATGTTCGGCCTGTACAAAATGCAATGAATCAGGTTGGGATTGTGCTGAACGTACAGCAAGGGCAAACAGTTAGACCAATTACACTAGTCCCAGGTAAGGAACAATGTGTATCCATCTCGAATAAAGAAAGTTTGTTTTTATTGTTTCAGATGCTTTAGGTCAGTGATGGCGAACCTTTAAAGAGATGAGTGCCCAAACAGCAACCCAAAGCCCACTTACTTATTGCAGAATCCCACCATTGAAATTAAATCTGAATACTGAGGTTTTAGTTTAGAAAAAAAAACAACTCATACATTAACATTTATTGTCTTAAAAACAACACACATGCCCTAGGTTCGCCACCACTGCTCTAGGTCATTTCAAAAGTGTACTTCAAAAAATATTAAAATCTTAATGATTTAGCCCCATTTTTTTTTTTTTTTTTTAAAAAGCAACTTTTTGCTTTTTGGCCGGGGTTTTTTTTTTTTTTTTTTTTTTTTTTTTTTCCTGTGTAGCTTTTCACCAACCTTCAAAAGGTAGTAAAACAGGGTTTTATCTAGTCATTTTCTGTAACTGTTTTCGTCAGCTATTAAATTCGTTATCCTGAAGGAATAGTATTAATGCAAAATCAAGTCCATACTCCATGTACATCTACTCACTTACATGTTGGGACTCCGAACTTTTAAGTTGTAGGCTTTTGATACATATTAAGCAAAAGATGTAGCCTTTGAGGGTAACATTACTAGTGATGAGTATTTTTTAAGACCTTTGGGGCTGGTCTGTAGAGTGCTTAGCATGGATGAAGCCCTGGATTCAGTTCACGGTGCCAAAAAAAGGACTATAATTTCCTGTGTGTTAAGTTTACTGTAACTCAGGCCAAAAAAATCAAAAAGACAATGTCCTGATTTAATTGTTTGTAAGAGAACCTGTGGTTTTGTCTTCCTAAGATGTTCTGGGTGTTTTTGTTTTCAGAGCCCACAGTTTTGTTTTGTTCTGTTCTGTTCTGTTTTGTTTTGTTCTGTTCTGTTCTGTTTTGTTTTGTTATGTGTGATCAGTTACTCTGTCACATTCTGATATTTCTTAAATACTTCTCAGTTGAATTATCTACAGTTGTGCTAAATGTTATCTTTTGGGACATCCTAGTAGAATGACATAGTCTGTCATTGTTTTATAAGAAAGAGTGGAAGACTTTACTATTCTGAAAAAGAAAAATCTCTTTTTTCTGGACCAAGTCTGTTACTTGGCCTATATATCCTTATACTGCCTTTTATTTCTCTTCTAGTACCAAAGTCAAGCTACTGATTATATTCTTACAATAAAAAAGGTAGTGTAGTAAGGTTTTTTGGAAAGTTTGGATAGAAATCTTTTTCAGTTTAATGCTTTTACTTTACTGATGATAATTTCTTTTATCGGCTTGGACACCTAATGATCACTTACATTTTAAAATCTGTACTACTCTAGGCAAGCTCTGATGGTCATTGATCAGTTTGGGGAAGTAATCTTTTCCTATTCTAGTACTATATTTCTAGTAAAGGCAAGACAGTGTATATAGGTGAGCTTATTGACCAAGATTTTTTCTTTGTCTCTTAAAAGCCCCAGGTACCCAGTTTGTTAAGCCAACAGTTGGAGTCCCACAAGTGTTCTCTCAGATGACCCCAGTGAGGCCAGGCTCTACAATGCCTGTGAGGCCCACCACCAACACCTTCACCACTGTCATCCCAGCTACTCTGACCATTCGAAGCACCGTCCCACAGTCCCAGTCGCAGCAGACCAAGTCCACTCCCAGCACTTCTACCACTCCCACTGCCACGCAGCCGACCTCATTGGGGCAACTAGCTGTTCAGCCTCCAGGCCAGTCCAACCAGACCTCAAATCCCAAGTTAGGTGAGGCTTGGGAAGAGGCGATGGCAAGCCAGGATGGGATGGTTCTAGGAGAACAGATGATTATCACTTGGTCAACGTAGCTCCCTCTTTCCCCTCTCCACCTGCAGTGAGCATTGCCAGCTTTGTCACTGTGAAGCGACCTGGAGTTACAGGTGAAAATAACAATGAAGTGGCCAAATTGGTGAACACCCTTAACACCATCCCTTCCCTGGGCCAGAGTCCTGGGCCAATGGTGGTATCCAACAACAGTTCTACCCATAGTGCTCAAAGAAGCAGTGGACCGGAATCTTCATTGAAAGGTATGATTACTAGAGAGACCTTGAGCAGCCAGTCACTTAAATGTATTGATAGACTGTTCGTAGCAGAGCTCATATTCTAAAATGGAGAAATAAAACAATATAGTTGCTATAATCTGTTCTTAGAAAAACTTTTGTAAAGGAGACAGCCACTTTTAAAGTGTGGCTGAATGAACTACGAGAAATTCTTTGTGTAGTTGTGCTTTGTGGATTATTGAGTAAAGTGGATTGATTGATTAGAGATAGGTTTATGGGATAATTAGAGATGGCTTCATGGAGGAAATAAATTTCTGAACAATTTTTTTAAATTGGCATTTGGTAGCAAAGCTTTCACATAAAGGATATAAACAGCATGAAGGTTGTTAGATGAGATCAGGTATGATCAACGTGGTACAGCTGTAGACAGTGTGAGGGTTTTCAGAGGTACAAAGGGAGAGAAGTTGGCAAACTTTCTGTATGGAGCCCAATATAAGTATTCTGAGTTCTATGCACAGTATAGTCTCTGTCACAGCTACTCAGCTATGCCATTGTGGTGCAGAAGCAAGCATAGGTAACATAAAATTTGAATTTCATATAATTTTCATGTAGCAGAAAATTTTATTCATTTGCTTTTATGCCAGCCATTTAAAATAATGTTAAGAAAGTTGGAATGAAACTCTTACTTTATACCGAATATAAAAGTTAACTCGGGACCAGGGGTATAGTGCAGCGGCACAAGTGCGTGCCTGGCAAACACAGGTCCTAAGTTTGATTCTTGGTACCAAAAAAACCCAACTTGGGCTGGGGATGTAGCTCAGTGGCGTAAGTGCCTGCCTGGCAAGCGTAAGGTCATGAGTTCAATTCCTGGTACCCAATAAATAAATAAATAAACAAACTCAAAATCACTGAAAGACTTAAACATATAAGCTAAAACTTTGAAGTTAGAAAAGCACAGTAGAAGGAAAGCTTCATGATACTTGATTTGACAGCAATTTATATAACACCAGAAGCACAGGCAAAGAAAGAAAAAATAGGCAATCTGAATTACATCAAAATTTTAAACTTTTGTGCATGATAGAACACTAAACACAGTGAAATGATAACTGACAGAATGGGAAAAAATACACAAATTATGTAACCATTAAGGGGTTACTCTCCAGAATGCATAAAGGATTCTTTTGTGTGTGTAGAGGAGGGTACCGGGAATCAAACTCAGGACCTTGTGCTTGCCAGGCAGGTGCCTGTACTGTTGAGCTACATCCCAGCCCAAGGATTCTTGACTCATTGACAAAAATCCAAACAGTTAAAAAAACAGCAAAGGGTAAATCTTTCACCAAAGAAAATTATAAAATAGGTGTTTAAAAATGTGAAAAGATGTTCAGCATCACTAGTCATTAGGGAAATATAAATCAAAACCACAGGATACCCTCTCATACCCATTCAGGTGATGACTGTTTAAAAAAAAAAGGATATAACTCAGTAGTAGAACGTTTGACTTAGCAATGTGAACCCCTGGGTTTGATTCCCAGCACTAGAAAAACAAACAAAACAAACCAAAACAGGCCAGGTGAGGTGGTACATATCTGTAATTCCAGCACTGTGTGAGGCTGAGGCTGGAGGAGTACACATTTGAGTTCTACCTGAACTTAAAGGTGTTGCAAAATAAAATAAAAACTTAAAGAGTTGTAGCAAAATAAAAAGGCTGGGGATTTAGCTCAGCGTGAAGGCCCTGGGTTCAATCACCAGTACCCCCTCCCCAAAAATAAAAACAGTGAAGGGACAAAATAACAAATGTTGGTGAAGATAGGGAGAAAGTAGAATCCTTGTGTACTGTTGGCAAGAATTTAAAATGGTGAAGCTCTTGTGGAAGACACTGGTCGTTATGCAAAAAATTAAAAAGAATCACATGTGCTTGAGGACTTTCCCTTCTAGGTGTGTCCCATAACAGACACTAGCCGTGCCTAGAATAGGTACTTGCACAACCTGTGTTCATAGCATCCTCACTGACAGCAGTTGAAAGGGGAGCACAACCCAAGTACTCATCAAATGATGAATGAGTAAATAAAATGTGGTATATTGTCAGCCATAAAGGAAGTTCTGGAATTGAGCGCAATGGGACATGTCTATAATTCCAGCACTCGGGGAGGCCCAAAGTTTAAGCCCAGCCTGGGCAACTGAGTGAGACCCTGTCTGATAATTTTAAAAAGGACTAGGGATATAACTAAGTGCAGTGGCTCTGAGTTTGATCCCCGGTACTCTGCCCCCTTGGCCCTAGAAAAGGGGGTTCTGACACATGATACATACATGGGTGAACCACGAAGACATGGTAAGTGAAATAAGCTGGTCACAAAGGACAAATAATGTACAGTTCCCCTCACATACCTAGTGTAGTCAGATCCGTGAAGACAGAAAGTATGGCTATGGGCCAGGGAGAATGGGGAGTTTGTAATGGTTTTTGAGTTTCATTTCAAGTTGAAGAGTTCTGGAGATTGTACAGCAAGGTGAATGTACTTAGTACAACTAAGGTATATACTTAAAAATCGTTAACATAGTAAATATTTTGTCTGTTTTACACTTTTAAAAAAATGTATTTTCATTCGCCTAACCAAAAAATAATATAAAAATCATTCTTTGCTCATGGACCTAACAAAAGCTGGCATTTGGTTTGGATTTGGTGTTTGGGCTGTGGTTTGCCAGCTCTCATTGAGTTAGAACAGTAAAAGGAGTGTGCCTTAAACAGTGATCTGTCATGCTTGCTTAACCTTCAATATACTTTTCAGGTAGTCCTTTCCTGTTATCATCATCATATTAATCCTCGCAATTCTTCTCACTTCTTTCAGTGACCTCTTCCATCCCAGTGTTTGATCTCCAGGATGGTGGACGGAAAATATGTCCACGGTGTAATGCTCAGTTCCGTGTTACTGAAGCTTTGAGAGGGCACATGTGTGTAAGTGATAGTGCTTTGTGATAGGGATCCGGCTTAAATGGTGACTGCTGTATACTTCCTTTAATATTGAGGGCCTGTAAAGCAGGGGCTCCAAACTGATTGGGAGGCCTTTTAGAGGCTCCTTTAGTCTGTTAGAAGAGCTGTGTATGACAGGATAGATGTAAAAACCTTCAAATAGATCAGAACAAATGAAACCTTACTTCTTTAGAATGGTAGATCTGAAACTCCATTGGGGAAGGCTTATTAGATAAGAGCTCAAACCACACTGCCTTCCATTCAGTTTCTGTGACTTATGTCATTGAGTGATTTGAGAGTTTTTGCCTGATTCCGTTTCCTAGCCTTTTCATTTTTGGATATTGGTCCAGAAGCAGAGCTTGGAACTTTTATTTGCCAGGGAGCTCAGAGCAAATGAGTGATTAAGGGGGATCTAAGGCAGGAGGAACAGTACAGCATAAGGTAAGGTGTTAAGGGCTTATATATGGCTGTGGACATACACTAGTAGAAGGGTGAAACCCATAGAAAACTGAAGGATGAAAGCAGGATAACAGTACCTTACCACTTGAGCTGGGCATAGTAGCATGTTTACTTTCTGTGAGTTCCAGCTACTTGGCAGGCTGGGGTAGTGGCAAATTGCTTGAGCCCAGGAGGCTAACCTGGACAGTACAGCAGAAACCTCATTTCCAACAACAAAAAAGGAATATTTTACCACTTAAAGTAACAAAAGTGTTACCACAGAATGTTAATGAAGTTGGTGTATCCTAGCCCCCAAGATAACCAGGATGATCATATATTTTCCTTTTTTATAGTACTGCTGCCCAGAAATGGTTGAATACCAGAAGAAAGGCAAGTCCCTGGATTCAGAACCTGGTGTCCCATCAGCAGCAAAGCCCCCATCCCCTGAGAAAACAGCTCCTGTTACTTCCACACCCTCTTCTACACCTATGCCTGCTCTGTCACCACCTACCAAAGTACCAGAGCCAAATGAGAATGTGGGTGATGCAGTCCAAACCAAGCTCATTATGCTGGTAGATGATTTCTACTATGGACGGGATGGTGGCAAAGCATCCCAACTCACAAACTTTCCTAAGGTCGCCACATCTTTCCGATGCCCACATTGTACCAAAAGATTAAAAAATAACATCCGGTAAGTGTTGAAGAGTGCTAGAGATTATCTTGCATAAAAGAAAACTTAAATTTTCTTACATATTTAAATTTTTCTTTAGAGCAAGGTCCTCACTATGATACAATCTTGCTGGGGCTTATTAAGTCAGTAACTAATATTGTGGAAGGCTGGTATTGTGGTAACAAAAGATAGCTTTGGGTAGAGTAAGGGGGATGAGTGCATCTCCTAACCCAGAATTCTTAGTGTCAGGACCCATCTGAGTTTAGGGAAGCACTGTGCCAGCCAGAGGGGAGGAGAGCAGATAATGTTTATGATTCTACCATTGTATTTTTCAAAGGTTACTAATTATGCTTTTTATCCTTTGTCTTTGTGCTGTGCTACAGGTTCATGAACCACATGAAACACCATGTAGAACTTGATCAGCAGAATGGTGAGGTAGATGGTCATACTATCTGCCAACACTGTTACCGCCAGTTTTCCACTCCCTTCCAGCTCCAGTGCCACTTGGAAAATGTTCATAGTCCCTATGAATCTACTAGTAAGTTTAAGAACTCTTACACTCTAGGGGGACATACCTTTCTCTTCCTGAATGGCAGTAGAGGAGAGCCTGTTATATTTATATGTAATAGTGTAAGGAGGTACTTTTGGATGTGTATAGCCATCCCCTTAATTTACTTCCCTTGTTTTCTTACAAGCCTGACTTAAAATACTTTGCCATTAAATACAGTGTTTTTGATGAAACACGTGGTGAGCTGGAGTATAACCTACATTGTATATCTTACAGAAGAGGAAACAAAAGGCTGAACACAGGCTCAGAGTAATTAATCTGCTTAAAATCATATACCTCTAGTAAGTTGACATTGTGAGAATTTGAGCTCCCTTTAGAGTATTTCTAATCCTTTAAGGGATTTCTGATTTTGTTGAAGATACGAAAAGTAAGTATAGGAAAGTATACTTGCTGATAACAAGACAATATATTACAAACAAGCCAGGTGTGGTGGCATGCCCTGTAATCCTAGCATTTGGGAAGCTGTGGTAGGTGGACCCCTACAAGTTTAAACCCAGCCCTGTGCAATTTAGTGAGAGCCTTACTCAAAATTAAAAATTAAAAAGGCTGAGGATGTAGCTGAGTTCAAAGGACTGGATTCCTGTCAATCCCTGGCTTCTATGCATAGCGCCAAAAAAAAAAAAAAAAAAAATCAGATATTTCCTCTGAGTAAAGATTTATTATTATTATTTTATATTTTTTTTGGAGACAAGGGCTCACCTTGTAGTCTAGGTTGGCCTTGAACTCATAGCTCAGCCTCCCAAGTTCTTGGATTCTTTTTTTTTGAGACAGGATCTGGCTGTGTAGTTCAGGCTGGTTTTGAACTCATGGAAAGCTTCCTGCCTCAGCCTTCTGAATGCTGGGATTACAGGAATGCACCACCACGCCTGGTGCTTGGATTAATTTTTAACTCTTTTCTTTGTACCCATCGCAGATTCTCCCTGAAAATAGCTTATTTTTTAATGCTAATATTTTGGAAAGCCTTGCTTTGTTTTTCGTTTTGGATAAAATTTTTCCCTTTTATTTTTGGAAGTATTTTTAATTCAATTGCAGATATAATGACCTTTTACTCCTAAATGTATTTCTGAAGAAAGGAGATTTTTTTCTGTCCATAACCATAGTACCTTTGTCACAAGCTAGTAGAATTAATCATAAATTCTTACTAGCATCTGATACCTAGTCCATTTTCAAATTTTTGAGTTATCTCCAACATTCAGTAGTTTCTCATGTTTAGTTGTAGTAACAGTATAATCCTGATAGCCTTAGGTTTTTCTTTACACTCGCTTAAGGGTAGTCTATTATTTGAAGGAGTTTCTGTGGCTTTTGGGTCCTTTCACAGTTTGCTTCATGCTGTTTCATTGTCTTTGGGGGCTTTTTGTTTTGTTTTGTGGTGCTGAGGTTCTAATCCAGGTCCTTGTGCATGCTAGGCAAAGCACTCTAATCACTCACTGATTTACAAGCCCAGGCTACAGTGTTGTAATTTATATCTAAGACAGAGATCCTTACCTGTGTGTTTGTTGGTTATGCTGTGAATCCCTTGAAACTGTATGCATACTTTGTGCTTGTGTATATTTTTCAGTAGAGGGGTTGCATAGCTTTCATTATTCTCAGAGGGGTTCAGAACTCAAAAATGCCTAAGACAGTGGTTTTTACTCAGATTTTCCTTAGGCATTTGAGGCTACATTGTTTCTAAAATATTCTAACATTGTTCAGGGCATCACTCTTACTGCCTCCTCAGCAACTATTAAAGGTGTAAAGGTGTAACGTAGGTTAGGCTTCTAATCATTAGAATATAATGTTAAGAAAAATCTTCTGTTGATGGAAAGGAGAAAGAGCAACAGACTGAAGAAGAGGGAAGATTGAGTGAGGCACTCTTCAGGGTTCCTGGCCATGTTCAGGTGTCAGCGGCGAGGAGCCTGTGTGATAGAAACTCAAGGGGGAAACTGATTGGTGAAGTCTTGGAGTCCGTGGAATGTTGGGGGTGGGTAAGCTTTAGAAAGACATCAGGGACCTGTTCTTTCGTACTGCAGAAGATAGAAGCAGAAGCTCTAATAGTTCGTGCCTGTTTTCTCAAAGTGTAGACTGGTGTGTGTTAAGAAGGTGGGGTGATAGTGCTGGAAGGGACAGTGTGAGGACAGTATAGCCACTGAGATAGCTTTCTCTTTCTGTTTCTGTCCTTGATGTTGAATAGTGAGCCCAGAGCCTCCCACAGGGCAGATGTTGCCCTCCCTCTTAGATCTTCTCATACCAGCTCATTTCCCTATAGAATTGATGTCAGATGACACTAGAGAACTCTGAAACTTCCTGATGTCTTGAGTTCTTTTCTCATGAATTATCTTGGTATGAGATAATACACTTAAGGCTTAGCATGCTGCTTGTGCTTTAGAAATTGTATAAATGTTGCTTTTATTATTGGTGTTGTGTGATAGCTATGAAAATAGAGCTGATGTACAGGTTGTGGAAAAGCCTTTGAGATAGAATGAGATTGGCCAGGGCAAGTGCAATAAAAAAGGCCTGAACAGAAAGCATCAATGCTTAAAGGTATTTTACAAAAGGAAAAAAGAAAAAGGTAAGCAGACTGAGAGGTAGCAGTTATTAATGCATCTAAACTGAAAGGTACATTCCCAGTGGGGATGTATAGTTAGTGGTAGAGCACTTGCCTAGCTTGTGGGAGGCCCTGGCTTCAGTCTTCATTACCACAACCAAAACAGGAAAACAGATAGGGAGGAGGAAAAGAAGAAAGAAAGTGTGCTTCCAGTTAACTTTCCCAAATATGTCCTCAACTTTCATACTTAACATATCTTTCTTCCTGCTTCTCTCGGCTCCTGTCTTGCAACCCCCATTCTTAGAGCTTTCCTCATTCCTCAAGGGAGGATTTCTTTGCATAAACTGGAAAGTAAAAGTAAGAAGAGTAAAAATAAATAGTGTTCTTTTTGGAGGCCATACTGTATAATTCAAAATATGAAACTTTTTACCAAAAATTTACAGTTGCATCCTCATAAAATGACCAGTTTGAAGATATAATTATCTTGAATGTGTTAATACAGGGAAACCTCAACTTCCAACAAGGCAAGAACATTTAGTCTTTAGAGTGCAAATGCTTTTGCACTTAGTAGGTATTTAATAGGTAATCATTGTCCTCAGACAGAAATGAATTCCTCTAGACCTTAAAAAAGAACTAATTTGGCAATGGACACCAGTAATGCCAGCACTTAGGAAACTGAGACAAGAGGATCTTTAAGTTCAAGCCTGCCTGGGCTACATAGTAAATTTCAGGCCACTTAGGCTAAATAACAAGACCTTGTCTCAAAAAAAAAAAAAATTGTTTTTATTTGGCAGTAGTACATAAAAAATGAATATTGCATAAATTTATTGGGGAAGTAGGAGGTAGTGAAAGCCTACTAATAAGCACTGGGAAGTCATATGAGCTTCTAGCAAGTTTTTGCCAAGAATAACAAGTGACAATTCCCAGATAATTCTGAAGTAATAATGATGGAGAACCAGTATGGAATCTGAGATGATGCCTAACTTTTGAATTACAAAGATACGAAGTGAGAGAAGAAAAATGTAAGTAGGAGGATAGTGAATTAAGCTAAAAACACAACATCCAGTTTAAAATGTACATAGTTCAAAAAGTAACGGACGGCACATGCCTGTAATCCCAGCAGGCTGAGGCAGGAGGATGGCAAGTATGAGCTCAGGTTGGGCAGTTTAGCAGCTTGGTGTGATCCCGTCTCAAATAAAAAGTAGAAAAGGGCTGGGGATGTAGCTCACTCTGCATTCAATCCTGAGAACTTCAAAAAAGGAAAAAAAAAAAAGTTCAAAATCTCAAGTATAGCTTTGGTAAAGAGTGTGAGCTAGAGATGTAGGTTAGTTGTTATCAACAACACAATGTTAAGGCAAAATCATTTTAAAGAAGGAAACTTGTACTGACTGTTGAAAATGAAGAAATGGAAGTGAGAGAAAAGATTGAGACTTTGATCTTGTTTTCAGGTGGATTTATTGATTATTTTTCTTCTTACAGCCAAGTGCAAAATCTGTGAGTGGGCATTTGAAAGTGAGCCACTATTTCTCCAGCATATGAAGGACACTCATAAGCCTGGAGAGATGCCTTATGTTTGTCAGGTATTACCCTTTTCTCCAGGAAGTTTTTAGCCATTTTACTTTCAGGCTGAATATAAAGAATCCACTAATGAGTATTATTTAAGTACCTACTACACATACTCAGTTTGGCAGTTTTGAAGAGATAATAGAAGAGATAATAAAAAATTCCTGTCCTTAGGATTTTCCATGTAGGAGAAAAACGTTAAAAGAACATAACCTCAAGTGTAATACTTAACTTTGCCAGGGAAGTTGTTTATGTTGTAAGAGTGTGACTGTCTCTTGAACTTGCTCTTTGGAGTTGAAGGTAGACAAAGTTTTACTCCTTAGTTACAGAATAATGCTGTTCTCAGACTCACCTGTTCTTTATTTTTTATCTTAAGTCACAGCTGAATTTATCACAAGCATAGATCCTGTATTTCAAAGTTGGAAACTAATTTTTTGTGAGCTGATTTAAACCTTTCCTCCTCTAAAAAAATCACTAATTTCTATACATTTAGGATTTTTTTTTCATATTGAAGAATGTTTTTGCTACTTTTTTAAACCCTCGGTCATTCACTCTTATCCCTCAGGTGTGTCAGTATCGCTCCTCACTCTACTCTGAGGTAGATGCCCATTTTCGGATGATCCACGAGGATACTCGGCATCTGCTGTGTCCTTACTGCCTGAAGGTCTTCAAAAATGGCAATGCATTCCAGCAGCACTACATGAGGCACCAGGTACCAGGCACCACACAATTCCTGTATTCTTATTGGCTTTAATTTACGGATGTTGGAGCCAGGGCTTAGCTAGGCAAGTAATTTTGGTAGAGAAGATGACATATATGTTTGCTTAATTATGTGCCATGCAGTAATTTAGAGACTTAATGATAAACAGAAAGTATGAAGAGTGTTGTGTTAGGATGAAGTATAAGATATAGAAAGGCATAACTTATTTTGCAAGCCTAATGGGGCTTCTAGAAGTGATATTTAAGACTTGAAGGATAAAAAAGAATGAGTCAGGTAAAATAGAACAGAAGAACAGTGTGCCCAGGTCACAGAGTGAGATTGTAAAGGGTCAGAAAACAGGTATTTAGATTGTAGGTATAAGGTAAAGATTTGGAGTTAGGACAGATCATGGGGGGTCTTGAAAGCCATGAAAAAGTTGCTGGGAAGCTATAAATGGGGTGTGAGCCCTGGAGCGATATGTTCAGATTTGTTTTAGTTACAGTTTCACACTGATTGCCCTGAGGAGAATGGACAAAGAATATGACCAGAATTTAGGGAGACTAAATCAGTTAAAGATAAACAAAAGGCCTTTTCAATAGCTTAGGTGAGAGATGATAGTGAATATTGGCCTTTGAGGTAAAGAAAAAGAGGCAGAGTTGAAAGATCCTGAAAGATACTTTATATTGATAATTTTGAGCTAGATTAGGTAAAGTAGCCAGGAGTAGTAGTTAAGAATAATGGCTAAAGTTCTGGTTTTAGATGAATGCTGGGACTATTTCAGCTGTGATACAAGAACTGGAGAAAGTATGTTTGGGGGAGGAGGATTGTGATTTAGATATTCTGAGTTAGCAAAGTATCAGTGAACATCAATTATAGCTGTTGGATAATGGGTCAAAATAGGACAAAATCTGAGCTGAGAATAAGGTCAAGACTTAATAGATCCTTGAAGTCTCCATCCATAAAACCAGATCATAGTCCTAATAGGAAAACCAGGAGAGTTTCGGAGTTAAGGAAGTTGAGATGAAAGTGTTTTTGAAAAAAGGCTATAATCAAAACGTCACATGTGACAAGAAGGTATCAAAGTAGAAACTTAAGAGGCAGATCTTTATTTTAGCAACATTGATGAGAATCATTTTACTGGTTGGTAGAATGGAAGTCAAATTTTAATAAATGAGAAGGAAGGAAATAGAAAACACTTACTTGAAAGCTTTTTTTTAAAAATGAAGGGTAGAACAAAGGGTGGTAGATCCAGAGGCAGGAAGTAATGGGTGAATTTTATAGGGTTGTTTTGTTGTATTGTATTTGTAAGATGGAATAGATATGACCTTATTATAAAATTTCAAAAAGGTGCTACTAGAGAGGAGTGAAGGTGTTTAAGAGAAAATACAAAATGAAGAACTAGTTGGGTTCATGTGTGCTTGGCATTCCTTCATGTACACACAAACGTCCATGCTATAGTTGGTAGCACCCCTCTGCTTACACCCTGTTTTACACAGTAGTGGCTACTGGGAGATACATTTCCAAATAGGAGCATGGAGACTGTTCCCTATAACTTAGCCTGATGTTACATTTTCTTGCTGTCCTAATGAAGAACATCATAGATGTGAATGAGCCCAATTATTTTTTATGGATTTTGGTATGAGACTTAATCCTCAAAATGATCCACAAGGAGACATCTGTATATATTGCTGTGTCACAAAGAAAAACAGCAAGATATAGATAAGTATTACTGTGCTAAAACAAAGCAAAACAAAACAACCCAGAGGTGGTGATTAATATGAATGTGATTGTTAGGTGGTTATTTGCATAGACTATTAAAAATACTCAAGAAACTGGTAACAAGCTGTTTTTATGCAAGGGAATTGAGACTCAGTTAAAGACAGTGCAAAAGTGTACGGGGTAAAAAGTATGAGTTGCTTTTGTTTGTTTATGATACGCATTTTAATGTCTTTAAAAGAAATGAAAAAGAATAATGTCCAGGAATAGGTAGCACTGTCTGTGGTGTGAAGAGAAAGTAAGGGCAAGTAAAGTACTTTACTGGTCCAAATTGTTACAAGTCAGGAAGGGATGGTTTGAGGACCGATCTTTGGGAGCATGAGAGATGATGCTTCTCGGTGGTAGGTTTTCTTGTATATTTCTTTCTTATTCGCTTCAGTTATCAACAGGAAGGTGAAAAATGATATATGTGACACTGACTTTAGAGAAGAAAATTTATTGGAAATTTTTAAGGAATTCTTGTCTTCTTTTTTCCTCTTTAGAAGAGAAATGTTTACCACTGCAATAAATGCCGTCTGCAGTTTCTCTTTGCCAAGGATAAAATCGAACACAAGCTTCAGCACCATAAAACCTTTCGTAAACCCAAGCAGCTAGAGGGCTTGAAACCAGGCACCAAGGTAGAGTTTGCTGATGTTTCGTCTACAGACTTAGGGAAGGGAAGCATAGAGATTTTCAGTATTCTGAAGTTGACTATGGGTGGTATCTAATTATTCCTTCCCTTGACTCCCAGGTGACAATCCGGGCTTCCCGAGGGCAGCCACGAACTGTTCCTATATCCTCCAACGATACACTTCCCAGCGCCTTGCAGGAGGCAACACCATTGACCTCCACAGACCCTCTGCCTGTCTTCGTTTATCCCCCTATCCAACGCAACATCCAGAAGAGAGCTGTTAGGAAAATGTCAGCGCCTTTTAATTGCTGGGCGGGTGGGGACTGAATGATCAGGATTATTCCTGATAGTGAAAATGAATAACCTTTTAGCAGGGTTGGTGTTCCTAAAATTCCTACAATTTGAGGATATGTGAGGCAGTAATAAGAACTTTTTTCATTTTTTTGGACAGGAGTGTCATGGGCCGGCAAACATGTTTGGAGTGCAGCTTTGAGATCCCGGATTTCCCAAATCACTTCCCTACTTACGTACACTGCTCTCTGTGTCGCTATAGCACCTGTTGCTCTCGAGCTTATGCCAACCACATGATCAAGTAAGTCCTGATTAAAGCAGTATTTCTGCTTGATTATCTAGAGCTCCTTTCATCTCCTCCCCTAATCTGAGTTTCCTTCTTCAGCCATTAGAGTTGTTTGCCCATTTGCCCATGTAGGCTATACCCGTGTTGATTTGGCTTTGATGCTTTGTACTGCAATTGTCTAGGACTTTGCTACTCAGAATGATTCCCTACTACTCCCAGACCTACTGAATGAGAATGTGAATGATAATAGATTCTCGGGCAATTTTATATACATAACTAAAGTTTAACAAGTGTAGTAAAGGCCCTGGATGTGGTGGTGCACGCCTGTAATCCCAGCTATTTAGGAGGGTGAGACAGGAGGATCACAAGTTCAAGGCTAGCCTAGCAAGTTTGGCAGTACCGTCTGAAAATTTTAAAAATGGGGACCATGGTAATAGGCAAGTTGGTTTGGTTTAAGATTAGAGTAGATTGAAGGAGGCTTCTCTTGCTGGATAATGTCATTGGCTGGTGATCTCTCGGTTAGCCAGCAGAACATAACAACTGATTCCACTTTATCTTTCTCAGCAATCATGTTCCACGGAAGAGCCCCAAGTATTTGGCACTATTTAAAAATTCTGTGAGGTAATGAAAAACTTACTAGTACTCTTTAATTTTTAAGTTTTAACAGTAAGTCCTTTGGTTATTTTGTGGGGTGGTTATATGAATTAATTTGAAAGAAAGGAGAAGGGAGGGCCCCTCCTTTTCTTTATTAAGCCTTAGAGTTAAGCTTGGCCAATTGTCAGTACAGTGTTTATGTTAGTATTCTTGACTTTTTTTTCTTAGTGGAATCAAGCTGGCCTGTACTTCCTGTACCTTTGTTACCTCTGTGGGCGATGCCATGGCCAAGCATTTGGTATTCAACCCCGCTCACAGATCTAGCAGCATCCTGCCTCGGGGTAAGTAGGAGAGATGCGGGGAACAGGGGGTCAAAAATATGTCATACTATGAATCTGGAGCATCTTCCTCTGGCCTCACCCTTTGCTATTTAGATATACTATACCATATTGGAAACATTCATACTTGAAGTTTAGATTACACTGGGAAAGTTGGCCTTGTGAAGAGTGTATTTTTGTCTAGTAGGCTGAAATCCAAGGAACCTGTCTTGGAGGGCTTCACTGAGCTAATACACGTATTTTTTAATCTCTTTCTTAGGGCTCATTTGGATGTCTCATCCAAGGTAATGAAAGCTCGCTTCATAATTTCTGTTCTGTGATGTATTTGCTCTTCTTACTGCTGCTGTTACTGAAATTTGCTTTTTTAGCTGATGTTTCTCCTCTCTGTGCTCCCTACCCATCAGGCATGGACAGGCCCGTGACCGAGGGCATGACAGGAACCTGAAGAACATGTGTCCCCCTTCCTCCTTTACACCCAGCAAAGCTGCCACTGTGAAACCTGTGGGTGCCACCCCAGCTGAGCCTGAAGAGCTGCCCGCCTCCGTGGCTCAGGCACTCCCGTCACCAGCCTCGACAGCAACCCCTCCACCAACCCCTACTCACCCACAGCCATTAGCGCTTCCAGCCTTGGCCACAGAGGTGGCTGAATGTCTGAATGTTGAAGACCAGGATGAAGGGAGCCCAGTCACCCAGGAACCTGAGCCAGCATCAGGTGGTGGTAGCAGTGGGATTGGCAAGAAGGAGCAGCTGTCTGTGAAGAAGCTGCGAGTAGTACTGTTTGCCCTGTGCTGCAACACAGAACAAGCAGCCGAACACTTTCGAAACCCCCAGCGACGCATCCGGCGTTGGCTTCGTCGTTTCCAGGCCTCCCAGGGGGAGAATCTAGAGGGCAAATATCTTAGCTTTGAGGCAGAAGAGAAACTGGCTGAGTGGGTGCTGACCCAGCGAGAGCAACAGCTGCCTGTAAATGAGGAGACCTTGTTCCAGAAGGCCACCAAAATAGGACGTTCTTTGGAAGGGGGGTTTAAGATCTCCTACGAGTGGGCTGTGCGGTTCATGTTGCGGCACCACCTGACTCCCCACGCCCGACGAGCTGTGGCCCACACTTTGCCAAAGGACGTGGCAGAGAATGCAGGACTCTTCATTGAATTTGTGCAGCGGCAAATTCACAATCAGGACTTACCTTTGTCTATGATTGTAGCCATTGATGAAGTCTCCTTATTCCTGGATACAGAGGTACTGAGCAGTGATGATCGAAAGGAGAATGCCCTGCAGACAGTGGGCACTGGGGAACCTTGGTGTGACGTAGTGCTGGCCATTCTGGCAGATGGCACCATCCTCCCCACGTTGGTTTTCTGCCGAGGACAAATAAATCAGCCTGCTAATGTGCCAGACTCTATATTACTAGAGGCAAAGGAGAACGGCTACAGCGACGATGAAATCATGGAGCTATGGTCCGCCCGGGTGTGGCAGAAGCACACCGCCTGCCAGCACAGCAAAGGTATGCTCGTGATGGACTGTCACCGCACTCACTTGTCAGAAGAGGTACTGGCCATGCTTAGTGCCTCTAGCACTTTGCCTGCAGTGGTGCCAGCAGGCTGTAGCTCTAAAATCCAGCCATTAGATGTGTGTATTAAACGAACTGTCAAGAACTTCCTACACAAAAAATGGAAGGAGCAGGCTCGGGAGATGGCAGACACTGCATGTGATTCTGACGTTCTGCTTCAGCTGGTGCTGGTCTGGCTGAGTGAGGTGCTGAGCGTCATTAGGGACTGTCCGGAGCTAGTTCAGCGGTCCTTTCTTGTGGCTAGTGTTCTGCCAGGCCCTGATGGCAACATTAACTCACCCACACGCAATGCTGATATGCAGGAGGAGCTCATTGTGTCCCTGGAGGAGCAGCTGAAGCTGAGTGGGGAACAGTCTGAGGAGCCCTCAGCTTCCACTCCCCGACCCAGATCATCTCCTGAAGAGACAGTGGAGCCAGAAAGCCTTCACCAGCTCTTTGAGGGGGAGAGTGAGACGGAGTCTTTCTACGGCTTTGAAGAAGCTGACCTAGATCTGATGGAGATATGAGTGTTGGAATCATGAAGAATGTGTGAAGTTGGGGGGAAGTTGAGGGAGGGTAGAGGGAATTAGGGAAGGGGGTATACCAGGTGGGGTACTTGAGTTATATTTTTAATTTTATGCCACCACTCCCCCGACATTGACTTAAATTTCCCTGTGAATTTGTGAATTATTAGGAAAATCAATAGTGAACACGTCTGAGCCGAGATCTGGCCCATTGGTCATTCACTTCTGCTAAAACAGGTTTTTTTGTGACTTTTTAAAAAAAATCTAAATCACTGTGTTTGGTATTTTTCTGAAAAAATTAAGAAAAAGAAAAAAAATCCTTTGTGGGCAAATGTTAAATTTTGTTTCCCCCTTTACCTCAATTGTATCATAGTACTGAGTTTTTGTTTTTACTGTGTGGCCAATGTCTTTGGGCATGATGCTATCTAATAATTATTGTCAATGTGAGAACATTTCTGAAGATGGGAAAGACAAAAATATGTAGCTCACAAACTGGCTTATTATATATATGGATACTTTTTTTCATTGTGGTCTTAACACTTTTATATAAAAATGAAAATGGAAAAAAACCCCACTGAACGCTCTCTTCCTTCTCCTCTTTCCTTCACTTTCCAGAGAGGTTGGTCTCTACAGCAACTCTAGATACAAAATTGTGGCTTTAAAAATGCATGAAACCACCTTTAATCGTCCAGAATGATGAATAGATTTGTCTTTTCCTCACTACCTTCCCTCCAACAAAAACATGACAAAAACATTATTTTTTACTTGCTATCCTTGACCCTTTCTCCCATTCCAACACCATCACTCTGGACAAAGGATCATACATGTGTCATTAAGCAAGCAAGAGGTACCAAGGCGATTAAACAGACGTTAGGGTGGAAACCATACCCCTCTTGCGTCTTCATTGTGTGAGCCCCGTGGGGCAGGCCCTGCTTCTGTGAACTTCATCCTGTTAAGTGGACAGACAGCATGCCTGTTCGAGAGATCCCAGGCCCTACAGCCAAGAGCTTGTGCAAATGCTGAATGTTGAACTTAAAAGCAATGACAGATCACTTGTTGAAATCCTGCTTACCCTATGACTTTCCTCTATTTCTCTTAATGCTTAGAGAAGAACCTGACACAAAGAAGAAACATGGGGGGATGTGCACAAAGCAGAAAGACATTTTTCACTGCCAGCTTCAAGGAAAGAAATTTTTTTCTACAATTCGCATGAGGGAATTTTTTTTTTAAAAAAACTATGTGCTTATGGTTACCAAAATGTACTGTACAGAGAAAAGGAGCAAAAAACCAAGTCCACCTTTCCCACAGCCATCTGTCCATTCTGAGGCTTCAGCAATGTTTCCACCTCCTGTGAGCTGAGGAGGCCACCTGCACAAACTTGTAAATGGTTAATCTTTAAGATGTACATAAGTGGAGCATTTCATAACATGAGGGAAATGCGTTTATAAAAATTTTTTTTTCTAGGTAACCCTGTTTTAATAGGCCTTCACAAATGGGGAGTTGCTCAAGATGTGATGGGCCTAGTGGTACAGGTGACATTTGTTGCCACCCACTTGCTCCCAGCCCTATTTTTTGTTGTTTTTAAAACCCCAGCACACTATAATATAGTGAACTGGAGCAGTCCTTCCCAGAACAGTGTGGTCAGCTTTTGGTGAACCTGCAGCATCTGGAAACAAATAAGGATTCATCTGGACGTCTCTTTCCCAACTTTTTGCCTGATGCTATTTTATTGCCAGACTGAACTTTCATTCCTCTGCCTTTGAGAAAGTTTAAGAACTAAGGTCACTTCTATCTACAGCCTACTCTTTGGTAGTCTCCACAGCAACCACAGTCGTAGCAAGCAGAGTTGGGTTGCTGTGCTCTGCACACTGACTTTCTGGATGGGTTAAGTTTTTAAAGATCATAATACCAACAGTGATCAGCTGGGTTTGGGCCAGGAAGTTGTCTTTGTGGACTCTGCCTGCATGGCTTAGTAGTAGAAGGAAGTTTTTCGGTTTTGTTTTTTATAATTCAGTTTAATCAATAAACGTATTTATTGACTACTTTCTGTGTTGAGACTGGATATGTGGAAGTACACGACTGAAAGCTCATGGTTTGCTTTTGCTTAAATTGTTCACTAGCTGCTACCTAATGACTTTCTTATGGGTTGGAGAGGATATGGTTTAGTATCACTGTGTTCATATTTCAGGTTAAAACCGTTGCAGGGGCTAAACACGGCTAATAACTTATTTGAATCTCATAACGACACTTACGGCGCTTTAATGAACACACTACTTCTAAGAATTCTTCGGTAATTAAGACAAAACATTGAGGTTGAATGTTCACATTGCTCAGCGTTCAGTATGAAAGGTGAAGTTATGAGGGCTGGAGACTACTCGCAGCCAGAGGGTAGTTATACAGTAGCTCCGCTAGCTATTTTTTTTTTTTTTTTTTTTGGTTTTTCTCCGGTACCGGGAACCGAACTCACGACCTTGCGCTTACCAGGCAGGCGCTTTGCTGTTGAGCTAAATCCCCAGCCCTTCCGCTAGCTATTGTGTCTGTGTTTGCAGTAGTGTTTCAGTGAGAGTCCTATCTGCAGCCATCATAACCCGAAATCTTACGTTCTAGCATCTAGGGCAGTGAGGGAAATTATAAAAGCCTGTTTTTATGCAAGTCTGGCTTATAGAGAAGCTGCCCCTAGGGCAGTCCTGGCTAGTGTGTGTCATGTAGGAAATTTTGTGTTTGGTGAGAAAGCCTAAGATGGCGAACCTTTTAGAGCTTTCAGTGACAACTGACTGTAGCACATGTGCCCTAGGTTCGCCACCGCTGGGCTGAGTTCTCTGACCAGGAAGGAAGATGGCATATAGCAGTGTAACTGTATTTATAAGTAGTTCAGACTGGCCTTACACCCACTATGTAGCCCAGCGTGGCCTTGAACTTCTGGTGATCCTGCTGGGATTACAGGTGTGTGCCACTATACCTGGTGGCAGTGTAACTGTTGACCTGACCTAGTCAGACAATAAAACCACTCAGTAAGCGCTTTGAAAGACTGCTTTATTTTACAAAAGTCTACCTTTGAACCAGCCAAGTTTCAAAGTTAAGGGGCGCAACTTCAGTTCCAGGTACTGCATCTGTATTTCATTAAAAGCCACTAAAAAAAAAAAAAAAAAAAAAAAAATTGCATTAAGTAGCATTAAACTTGTGACACATAAAGGGATCAATTTGTAAAAGCACCTCTACACTCCAAACCTCTCTACCAAGAATATTCCTCCAGAAAAGCTCAGCTCAGCAAGCCAAAGGGTCTCTCAACTCTTCTACACCTTTTTTTTTCCCCTGTTGTAATTTTAGTCACCTGATCATGTGGGCAATATCCCAGTTTGTTTCTGCAGACAGCGGTCCCTCTATTTCAACACCTTTTTCAGTTACAGTGGCGATTTCAAACTGAAAGAAAACAGCTTTTATTGAAAAATACCACTCTAAAATGAAAGAGTCCCTAGGATCTGGTCAAACATCAAGTGAAGTCTTCCCCTAGTCTGAAAATAGTCATGCAGTGAGGCAGTCTGTCTTCATACCACACAGACCAACCAGCCGGTTGCAAGTATTCACAGCCTGCCAGGGTTTTTACTCCTCACCCGGTTATACGAACGGGCATCTCGATAGTACAGCACTCGCATGCAGCGTTCTACTAGCTCTCGGGCCTGGGTCTGGCTCAGTACTGGCTGCTTCTCCAGAACTTCTCGAAGCAGAGGCTAGGGATAGCAGGAAAAAAATTACCTGGCTGATAACTGTTTCTAACCCACACTGTAAACAAAAAGCATAAATGAGTGAAAAGATTTCTGTTTATCACTGAGATGCTTATTAAAACCCTTGAAGTTCTTAGGGCAGTGGTGGCAAACCTACGGCACATGTACCACAGCAGGCTGTATCACTCAAAGCGCTAAACGATTCACCATCGCTGTTCTAGGGCTTACACTCTGCGCCTGTCTGCAGACTCCCAGGCGTGCCACCTTGCCCCCGAATGTAAGTGCTAACAATCACAGCCTCCTGATATAAAGAAAACCAACCAGCAGGGGTCCCAGCTTGTCCCTCTTTCAGAATTCTTGGGGCATCAGAATCAACCACCAAGCCCCATTACCTTTTCCTCTCCCTAACTGCTAGACCCACTCCTTACCTGAGCCAAGTATGCACCATAACCAGTGGCCAGTGAAGGGGCTTCATAGGCTACACCAAGCATGTCCACATAACCGAGGAAGCTAAGGGGACACAATGGGTCAAAAAATGCGTTTAATCTTACATTTCTTAGCTGAAGAATGGGATGAGGGGTTTCACTGGGGGAGAAGAGACAAAAGATACACGTGCTAGGTTGGGTGGTCAAGGGAGGAAGTTACTTGTACTCATATCAACCTCTCTCCGTCTGCATAGCCTCCAATGACCATGGTGTTCCACAGAGGGTTCATCTTCGAGCGGCGGCTGTACATGGCCCTTGTCAGCCACGAATGAATAGCTCTGGGGCTATAGCTGTGTCCATCTCCCAGCAATTCCTCATCAATCCTTAAAGGGAATTGGTTGTGAGAAAAGGGTTAGAATGCAAGTCAAGATCTCCACCCAGCTCAAAAGAAGTTACCACAACTATTCTGTGAAAACATTTTCAACGCCCCAAAATTCTCAAACCACTGCTGCAGCCGCAACTCTTCCTGTTCGACTTTAGGGAATAAAACACAGGACTCCCCTGTCCCACCCCGAACTCCCTACTCTCCAGGAGACTTACACCATCTGGCCGAGAACTTGCTTCAAGTACTGGAAATCCGCGTAGTCTCCGGAGGCACCCAGCATGGTGCTGTCGTTGACTCGCATAATGCGGGAGATGTTTCGGAAGCGCGCCAGGGAGCCGTAGGAGCCCAGCATGTCGGCTGCAATCACCACTCCGCCCTCGAATTTGACGCCGAGCACCGAGGTCCCGGTCACCATGGGGTTCCTGCAGCGTGAGAGAGGGCTGTGGCGACGGGCGGCGAGGGCAGACCCGCGCTGTCTTCCGAGGCTTGGGCCCCACTTCTCATTTCCGATGGGTCCTTCCAATGGCCCGCGTTCTCCGGGCCGTGCTCGGGCCCCCTCGCGGCTCGCGCCCGCCGGGGCCCGCACAAGCGGCCGGCCGCACGGCCCCACGGCCCCACGGCCCTTCCCGCTCCTCAGGCCCGGGCGCGAGAACTTACTGGGTCCGCGAGAGGGGGTCCCCGTGGGCTGCGGCCGCCGGACCCAAGAAGGAAGTGGGAGCGGAAGGGACGCGGTAAAACTGGCCTGGGGCCGGACCCCCGGCCCAGTGCCCACAGCGCGACTCCAAAACCGCTTCCATCTTAGTCACGGTAGAAGAAGTGAAAGCCCTTGTCCCAACGGAAGCGGAAGTGACCCTTCAGTGTTACACTTTTATTCTTCCTGAAAGCCACTTTCAGAAGCCATGTTGATGAGGTCAGGTCCGAAGGTACCATTGTCCTGCATAGAGACTGAGATGCAGTGGTGTGTTTTTATTTCAGTTTTAAATTTTGATGTAATCTCACTTATTTTTGTGTGTGTGATTTTCTCCTCCCCCCCATACTTTTAGTATCATATCCAAGAAATCATTGTCAAATGCAATGTCACAAAACTTTCTCCCTATGTTTACTAAGAGTTTTTCAGTGTTCTTAAGTTTTATTTTTGTATATAGTGTAAAATAAGGATCAAATTTCATTCTTTTTTGTTTGTTTGTTTGTTTTTCGGTACCGGGAATTGAACTCATGATCTTGCGCTTGCCAGGCAGGTGCTGTGCCACTGAGCTAAATCCCCAGCCCCTCAAGTTTCACTCTTTTGCATGTGCATATCCAGTTTTCCTACCATCCTTTGTGGAAAAGACTGTCCTTTCCCTCATTTAATGATTTTGCCGTCTTTGTAGAACGATCACATCCAAGAGACTTTATTCTGGGATTTCTATTCTATTCCATTGACCTATATATGTCTGTCTTTACAATAGTATCACCATTTCTGTTACAGTAGGCTTATGCTAAACTTTTAAACGTGTCAGACCTCACATAACTTTCGTCTTCAAAATTATTTTGATAAAAGTGTCTTTTCAAAATTTTATTTTTGTAAGATATTTCCTTTGGCATAAACTGACAAATATTTTCTTTTGGAACTTTAAGAATGTAATTTAGTGGTCTTCTGGCTTCCACTGTTTTTGTTGAGAAGCTACCTGTTATTTGTACCATTGTTTCTTTGAAGGTAAATGGGATTTTTTTGTTTGTCTTGTGATACTGGGATTGAACCCAAGGCCTTTGCACTGAGCTACATCCATAGCCCTGTTTAAAGACAGGATCTTATTAAGCACCCAGGCTGAGTTCTAATTTGTGATTCGCCTGCTTCAGCCTTCCAGAGAGCTGGAGCCCACCTATGTTTTGTTTTGTTTTAAGCTGATTTCTTCCAATATGTTTACTAGTGTTGCTAGGATATGGTGAGGCAGGGTCTTTTTCTTTTATTGTGCAAGGGGGGCATGGTTTTATTTGTACCTATCCAACCTGCTTTTGATGACTTTTTTTTGAAACAAGGTCTTGCTGTGTAGTTCAGGCTGGCCTTGAGTTCGCTATGTATACCAGGCTGGACTCAAATTTGCAGTGATCCTCTTGCCTCAACCTCCCCGAATGCTGGGATTATAGGACTGTGTCACCATGCTCTCACTGACATTCTTTAATCTGTGGGTTAAATAGCTTTTATCAGTTTTGGAGAATTCTCAGCCACTGTCTCTTTGAACATTGCTTCTGTCCAGTATTTTCCCTTCTCTCCTGAGACTCCAATTGTATCTATGCTAAATATTTGGTCATGCAGCCATGTTTCCTGCTTTCTTTTGTTTTTCATTCTTTTTTATATCTGCTTCAGTTGGGGAATTTTCTACTGATTTGTATTCCAGTTTACTAATCTTATTTTCTACTGTATCCAATGTGCTGCTAAACCCATACAATGGCTGGATCCTTTTCTGGTTTTGGAGTCAGGGTAATGCTAGCTTCCAGGACTGACTTTGGAGTATTCCTTCCCTTTCAGT